GAGAGTCAAATAGAAACCCCTCATTTCATTTTAATCCGATTTCATTATGATCTGCGACATTAATTAAACAAGTTTTTGGCTAATTACTGAATTAAGTAACGTAGTGCACTGACCAAAGTACTCGATCGGTGACGGGTATCTTGTATGGGGGTACTTTATATATGTAATGCAGAAACCAATATGTGTTAACGTGAAAAATGCCATGCAAAATACCCGGGTATGATCCTCGGTTAAAAAAAATGCTATACAAAGTACCCGGGTATTTTGAGTGGGGTGCGCTACTTTGGTCAGTGCACTACGGAAATTATGATAACGAAAAATGTTAGAACGCCTTGCATAATCGTAACTGTGATCTTTTCAGGAGTTATCAATTAAACAAATCTTTGGCTAATTAAGTAAATGTTAGAACAGGAATGCCACGCCAATTAAACAAGTCTTTAGCTAATTAAGTAATAATGATAACGTGACAACGTGAAAGTTAGAACGCCTTGCGTGATCTTTTCAGGAGTTGCAATTAAACAAGTCGTTAACCAATTAAGTAATTATGATAACGTGAAATATTAGAACGCTTAACTAATTAAGTAATTGTGATAACGTGAAATGTTAGAACGCCTTGTATAATCTTTTCAGGAGTGATCAATTAAACAAGTCTTTGGCTAATTAAGTAATTATGATAACGAGAACGCCTCTCCGAAAGGCAAGATTTATTCGTTTGCATAACTGTGATCTTTCAGGAGTTATCAATTAAACAAGTCTTTGGCTAATTAAGTAAATGATAGAACGTGAAATGCTAGAATTGTATAACTGTGAACGTTAGAACACGTTTCAGGAGTTTAGCTAATTAAGTAATAGTGATAACGTGACAATGTGAAAGTTAGAACGCCTTGCGTGAACAAGTAACCAATTAAGTAATTATGATAATGTGAACTGTTAGAATGCCTTGCATGGTTTTTCCAGTATCAATTAAACGGGTCTTTAAATGCTAGACCACCTTGCATAATTCTCTATTGACCGCACCTGAATATCAGAAATATTTTCGATAAGAACGTTACAGTTAAATATCTTGATCGATTAGCCGATAATTTCTGGCTGATGAATTTTTTTTTTTTATCCAAAGTCATTTTTACTAGTGTATTACGTAATATATTATAGGTAAATTTTCTTATGTAAAATGTTTTTATTAAATAACAATTTTTGACTTCATTACCCCGGAATGTTTATGGGTCAGGAATTCAATAAAGAAATCATTTTAATCACAAATTTGCATGGTTATAAGAATTATTATCATTAAAAAAAAACATATGTATTTTTTTAATGAAATAGTATAAAGTTCAAAATCATAATTGCATATAGATTAACCATTTCGATAAAATATGATTAATTCGAAACTTAATTGTATAATATTTTAATTTTTCCAAAAAATAAAACATCTAAAATTCAAAATCATAATTACATAAACAACAACTATCAAATAAAGTTTTTGTTCTTCCAAGTTTAACTGATACATTGGTTATCTTTTTCCATTAAACAACTAGTTAATTTCTCAATATCTTGAGGATCAGCTTTCTGAAAATAATTAATTGTAATGTTTGAACATCTCAATTTTTCGAGTATTCTTCCTCTGGGAATTTTCTTGTTATCAAAAGCTTAATTTAAATAATAAAATAATTAATCAAAAAAGTTTGAATTTTCAAAATAAAATTCTTAATAAAATACCTTCGATTATCAAAGTCAAATTGTCATATGATTTTCTCCAATGCGTTGTTATTGAGTAAATATTTGAATAAACATTTTTAGCATTTGGAATGGTTTCTCTGATCAATTTGTTTATTTCTTTACTTTTCTCTTTAGGAGAAGAGAATTGCTTTCCTTTGATTGAATCATACAACGATTCACATAAATAAAATCTGCTACAAAATTCAATCCAGTTTAAATTAATTTTTTCTTGGAACATCTTAGTGTACAATTCTAGATTGTAATTCTTCCAATTTTCCTTCTATTTTTCCAAATTATCATTCGATCTTGAAGTAATTGGATCATAGGATGGTTTAACTGATTTAATTTTTCCATTAATACGCTCAATGTAGGTGTCGGTAGAACTTATTTGCGACATTTTATTATAAGCTGTTACAAAGTAGTATACTGTATCATAATATTGACAAGTAATAAATGTGACAAAAAATTTAAAGGAATGCTTTAATATGATAAACTGAAGGGTAACGAAGTGAATGATAGTGGTAGATCTTTGAATATTAAATATATAATGATTATGCTGTGGAACATATTCTGCATAACGAAAATATTTTTTTTAACTCTAACGCTATTGAAAAATTCATTTAAAGCTAATTTACGGTTCAAAAATAACTTCTTTTCTTGACTTCAAATATTCATATTGGCACAATCAGTATGTCCAAATCCACGACTTCCAGCAATTACAAAAGGTCTTTTATATTTCATACTATAAAAACATAAACCAATGTTCAGGTTGGTTAACTACAAAAGTTCAGTGCACAATTGGCTCGTAGGGCTCAGTATACAAATATGAATACTGCGACTTTTTGATCCTATAAAAATCGATAAATCAGTTTGAACTTCCATGTACCAGCTGGAGAAAGCCAAAATATACTTACCACAAGATCATTAAAAATATTGTAAACTCAACAATTAATATAACAAGAACAAGTAAACCATTTCACGAGAATTTTTCTTGCAGATTTAACATTGCAAACAATATATGGTATTAATCTATCTTGAACTGTTATTTTCAATACAAAAAAATTGCATCATATACTTTATATATTTTTAGGTCACTACAATTGAGTAACAGATCTGCCTTTATATTATAAATCGATATTATATACGTATTAATTATATATTAATTATTACTTTATCATAGATATCATATGGTATAGTTGGTAGTAGAATTAATTTGTTAATTAATATGGCAATGACATGTGCTATTGGGGTATGCGATGTCCTATTTATTAACAAATCTATTGAAGATCATATATTAAAATCAGTATCAATATTTTTTTACGTAACCTGCAACTTTTCCGAAATTCATATAGTAAAAAAAAATTGCTACTCTTCCTTTATTTTCAACTATAGAGATTTAAATTTTGCTTGAATCTAATAAAAATGCATTGTAGTTTAATAATATAGAGAGTTTTTAATTTATAGAAAAGTCATTTATGCAAAAATCTTTTTTTAAAAATATCAAAAAAAAACGAATTTTGCGTAGATATTAAAAAATTTTAGTATGTATAGTAAATAAAAATATTCTTTCTATATTAGCGTTCTATATATATTTCTTAACAAAATAAATAAATTTTTTTTACAAACTGTGAAGTTTTGGTAAAACCTTAGCAATTGAAAGTTTATTATATACAGTATATACAGTGTTGTTATATCATGTCCAATGATTCGATAGTTTTGAACATTGTTAGACATCCAAATGTC